TCAGATCGATAGCTGCTATATCGATCTCCATTGTGAAAGCGATTATCCCATCGACCGAAGACTTTGATCATCCGAGAGAGAGAGAGAGAATATCGTAAAATCCCAACCGTAAGTACCAAATAAATCATCCTGTACCTCGGGTCAATCTCACGTAACCAAATTAATTACGTAATAACACCAGATCGCGCGAAATATATTTTCGAAAAAAAAATCAATACCATCCACAGAACTTTCCCACGATACCTCCAAATCGCTAAATCCAATATTTCCCAGAATCTCTGACGAGCTATCGGATGCTGGAGGATGGACCACTTTCGAGACAGTCACTATAGTCGTATTAAAGGGCGTGTTGAAGCGAATCTAAGGACGTTGATAAACCTATGGGAAAACCCATATGTGAAAGGTATCACGTCCTACACGCGCACCTGTCACGTTATGCCAAAGGCCATCACGCCCTGAGCGAAGAATGTCATGTCGCGGGGGAGGTGCTGCCCGTGTGCTTGGAAATATTCAAAGCCTTAACGGTACCAGTTCGTATGCTGTACTACATAAAGCATGAGATCATCGGGGATCTGGTTCAACACATATCGGATGGCGTTCACGTCAGGTTAGTAGACTCGATTAGAATCGTAACTCCTTGTCCGTGATTCATCACGAGCGTCATGCACTCACATACAAGCTTACACAGTGCTTATAGTTGCATGTGCAATGTACTTGTTTACTCTGGGTCCTGTACTTGTACGCGGAATGCTCCTAGAGCCGGCCAAGACTATGTTTACCACCCTATGTTTAAACCTTCGACCTACGCAGTGGCTAAGTAACGACCTTCGTTGTCGATTCTTCGCTACTAATTTTAATATATATTATATATATATATATATATATATATATATATATATGCCTTAACGAATTTGCGTACGATCGACATAAAATAGTTAAAGAATAACATATACAAGTCAAAGCGAAGAATAAAGCTAAAAAGGGACTCCTGAAGTCCGATCGTGAGTTACGATCTTCCCTTTAGGATCTCGCGTGCCCGCCTATCCAGCCATCCATACGGGCAACCAACGCGGGACCAGCCCGTGGTATACATGTTATTTATAGTTTATACCCCTGTGGCTGACTGGCCGGCCGCACGTATGGAGATGCTAATAAATTCGCAGCCACTTCCTACATGCTACGACGCCACACCCCGTGCGTCCACGATATAAACCTGATATTCCGCGATTACAGTCCTGCCAACGATCGAAAAATCATTTTTCTTCTTTTCTCATCCTCGGTCAGCACCTCGTCACCCCAATCCACTTGGGTAAGGTCCGTGTGAGGTCTATTTGAATTTTTATACGTCATCCTCTCGGTGGCTAAGAAACTTCGTGTCCTTCGACGTCTATCAGGTGTATACGTACATATATGTATGCATGGCAATTTGAATCATCCGAAGTCCAGATTTTACTTGTCACGTAATATCGCATAGCCAATCGCTACGAGTCTTTTCGATGACACCAGTGGCGTCGTTTGATTAATAGAAAATTGTGAACGTAAGTGCTACTACGCAATCGGCGATTAAAAGGGCCGACTGTGTCAGGGACAGAGGATACGTGCTTAAGATTGTATGTACCGTCGTTACATGCACATTACGCTTAGTCCTCTTTTAATGTGTACCAGGTATGTACCATGGGTATGGTTTGGTATTATATATATATATATATTTTACTTGTCACTATATATATATATATATATATATATATTGAATGATGTGGGTTTTTGTACATATGTGCACACGTACGCGAAGTCCTCGCTGGTTTAGCCTATGGCAGATACGCGTCTCCTACGCTTTAATGAGAATTGATGTTTCCGACGATTACGTTGAAATGTCTTTTTATGCTCGACTGAAAAATTACCTTAGTTACCGGCGGAGCAGAGAAATTCAAGCTCGTTTTTTTTTTATTGTTGGAAATAATTTTTCTTTTTTTTTTTTCTTCTATATCTTTGACTCGTAGGAGCTATTTTTATTTTTTTTTTTTTAAATTTACTTATTTCTCGCTCTCGACGGATCACGCCCAAGGTCACTCGACGGAAACGTCAGGTTATCCGCCGTGAACCAATCTTCCTTCGTACAAGAAGATGGATGACTGAATAATTCGCGAATACCGTATAAATTAAGGCCCCTTTAAGGCCTTCACGATGACCTCGTAAACGCATCCCGTTGGCTTAACGTTATAGGGACGCTTTCGAAAATTCGTTCACTCGATCTAGTGTAGAATTTTATTTTTTTTTATGCTGATTAATAATTTATGAATGTTAACAGCAGAGACACGGTACCCATTAGCGTCTTACGTATTCGTGGACCAACTGACAGATCCTTTTGTTTGTTTTTTTTCTCTCCAATTCGAGTTTGCTAATTACGACCGGTGCTTCGGCAGACATTTTGTTTTTTCCTAATTATTTAAAAAATATACGAGTATCGCGAGATGTATTTTTTCAGAGTCGAGACGCGAAAACGTCCTTGCACTTTTTCAAAATTGACCTTCCAAAGTGCAGCTGCACCCTTTGGCCTCGCGTACAATAACTTTGCCTAAGTCTAATTCCTTGTGTTAAAAAAACAGAACCGGTTCGTTACCGAAATTCCGAGCTGTCACTGAGTTATAAATTGGCCAGACTGAGAGGAAAAAAAATGTTTTCAACTATATCGACGGGACGTAAGTTCGTCGCAACGAATGTCAGTTATTGCGCGATAAGCCCAAGGAATCAGGTATTAATTTCTTTGGTAATCACTTTTAGCTACTGTATTTTTTCATGAGGGGGGGACCGGGGCAAGGCACGTGATCAGAAAAATCTTTGTACTGGGAATCGGGAAAGTGAACGTGAATCCTGTTACTGGGTAAATAACAAGATCAGCTACGGCTGTAGGATTTTCAGAATGGTGGTTAAGTATATTTATTTTTTTCATCTCCGTGTTTGGACTTGGGTCGACACCAGGCCCATTACTCTTGTCTCCCTGGGTAGCAATTACAAAGAGTCCCTTCGCAGGACGGCTACATTAATCATCCTTTTGTGGGACCAGTAATCAGCCTTTTGCCACCCACGCCAAAGGGGCCTTACGAATTAATCGGCGTATCAATCGTTATCCCTCTTACTTGCTTCTGTGTTGTGTCCGGTGAGTTTTTCGAAATTTTTATTTTATTTGCGTCATCGCCCGTTAGACATTCGTCGAATGATCTGCTCGATATCCTTTAATGATTCTGGCAATGATGTTTCTTAATTTTTTATTTAATCTTTTTTTTCCATTTTTCTTTATTACTTCCCATCGACTACGCAGCGATGGCCTCGATCGGCTGACTTCGCGTGGGTTTGGTTGACGTGCAATAATTCCGAACGACTGAAGAATGACGCACCTTGCTTTAATTACGTGTAATCGAGGAAATGTTTACGAGACGCGCGAATACGGGAGACTGAATAACGAGATTAAAGTGAAATTTAATATTAAGTCACGAGAACGTTCGTCGGGTATCTTGAAACTCCAAGTTTTGTTTATCAGGACTCGTCTCAGTCAGTATACGTAGTTTGTTTATACTATAGTAATTCTTTGAGATTGCGATTATTTAATTCGTTTATCAATTTCAATATAATTCGTGTTCATGTCGATCTTCGGCATTTCTACAGCTTGGGAAAACTCGAAAAGGACGTTTCAGTTGAAAATGCTGCCAAAAGCATGTCACTCGTTTTATAATCTGTACTTTACGTCGGGACAGGCAGATTCGGGTGAAGCTTGTATACATCAGTCCGTTAATCTAGTATATTAATATTTGTATTGTGCAAATAGCTTGATAACACTGTAGAGCATATAATTTTATATAGATTTCGAAGAAAGAGTTATATTTATCAGGATCAAATTCAAGAGTACTTAAAAATTGACAGGTACACATACTTGTACGTAATTCGAAGAAATTCTATATCAAGCGAATCGTATGAATCATTGAATCTAAAATGAATTTACGATCAGCTCGAGAAATCAGATAGGCGTGTAGGTGTTCCGGAAATTAGATAGGAAAGGATTAAAGAATTTCCGCATTTCGAAGGATTCCTACTTGAACGAGCGTAGTCATCGTTAAGAGTATGGTAGACGAATTTTTGTAAATTTTAATTTTTCTTGTTATTTGTCTCCAAAAAGAAAAAAAAGGAGAACACTGTCAGATATAATTGAGGCTAAGTACGTTTCTTGGAGATGTGGAATTTACTGGGGGAAACGTAGCGACTTTTTAATGGCGAGTCAAACCATTCTCATGCTAATTTATAGGAACAAAAGGGACGGCAGAGGAAAAGGTTCGCTGCTGGTTATGCAAGATACATACATACGTAGTTTCGTGACTTATGTGAAATGTCAGACGCAGCTTGTCCTTTTGTCACGCCGACGGGAAAAGTCTCGACCACGGGTATCGCTGCGCGGATGACGATGCGCGTAGGACAAAACATTCCAATCGTATTTTAACGACCAATGCAAATACGCACGTCATTAGACTTCGTTGGGCTCGTTTCGCTACTATTTGTCTTTATGGCCACGAAGTTCGTGGCTCCGCCACGAGAGCGCGCCACCCTCGCTAGTAAACATGGCGACGCGACGAATTCGAACTGCGCGTCTACGCTATCCCTCTCGGTCGACGGGGTAGTACGAGAGCGGCGCGTGCGAGTAACGTCCAAATTTCGTAACCGAGGACAATGCCCTGCGCGTTCGAATAAAATAACAACCAACAGTGCAATCCCCTACAGGCAGGAAGTCAAGAAAGCAAAGGCCAACTCGCAACGTGGCGAATATCGTCGTAGTATGCTGACTCCACGAATGCTCTTGCGACACTGGAATTTGTGTCACGTCTAAATTTTGCTTCTGGGTTCATCGGAGTTCACTCGGAATCGCATCAAAGGAAGAAACCGCAATGTGAATTTTCATGAAAACTATCCTACTCCGCATCTCCACCGCCTCGCTGTCCCAAGTACGTATCGAATAATCCTTGAGCCGTGCGCGCTCAGACACGTTCAGCCGCATGGCTGCCCAGTAGTACCGATCGGACGAGAAAAGTCCCTAGGATTTATTTAACAGGGACTTATTCCCGCAACTCGTCTTCGCCGTCTCGTCGCTTCATGCAAATGAGTAGCGCGTCGCCTTGGTGCGTTAATGGCGCGGAGACAACTCGCGACGAGGTTATGTTTCTCGTATCATGCGAGATCGGGAGCAACGATAGGAAAGTTTATCGCCACGTGAACCGAGACTAACGTCTTCATTTAGGTTTATAGCGGAACATCCCTTAATTCGCATAAGCATCTGCCTCGCTCTCGTAACTCGTTCTCGCATTGACTTAACCTACAAGTCGTCGCGTCGTTTGTCGTGCACGTTTTTGCATGTAATTAAGGAATAAAAAAAGATTCTTTTATCCCTAACGAGGAAAGTGTGTCGGGGACGTGCTCGGATTGTTCCACCTATCCGATTGTGCTCGATGAATACGAAAATACCGAGTGATTTATTTCTTTTTATTTACCACTCTCACCGTACTGCGTGATTCACTGGAAGTTCGGATGCAGCTGCGTTCCAATGACATTTTCACCTTTTATTCTCACGCCGGAGTTAATACATCGCGCCGTGAAACGTATCGGGAAGTGATTCCATTCCTGTTGCACATTCATGAAGATTCGTCAGCATCGTTAACCTGCTTGTCCACCTACAGGATCTTTCATAAATGCCTGACAGGTCATTCCAGTTTACCAAAACGTATGTACGAAATACTATTAGCCGAGAGCGAATGATTCATAATGGACAAGGCCTAAACATTACTCAGACGACTTCTATAAAGTCGTTAAACGTTCCCGGTTATTGAGAGTGACGTAATGTTTAACTAGAGCCGAGAAAATACGGAATTGACCGAAGAGTGAAGTTGGTTTTGCTTCTCCTACGAGGAACTTCACGTTGTTATACTCTGCCGCAAGATGTCCTACGGCGTTCCTAACCCCCATTAATCGAGGATGGCTAAAAAGACAGGAGCTGCTGCACTGCAAACGGAAGTGACCACGGACGACGAATGGCGTCTTGTTCTCGAAAGAAAGGGACTCGTAGTGGTTGACGTTTATTCGGAATGGAGTGGTCCATGTCTGGCCATGGTTAGTACGTTGAAGAAAATCAAAATGGAGCTCGGCGGGGATCTGGTCAGCTACGCGGTAGCACGGAACGACGAGATCTCCAGCTTGGAACGGTTCCGCGGTAAGAGCGAACCTGTCTGGATTTTCCTACAGGATGGTAAAATGGTGAATCTGATGTTCGGTGCCCACTGTCCAAATCTCCAAAGACTGCTCACCGAGGAGATACGTAGGGTCCAGCAGGCAGAATCCCCCAAGTGGATTATACCGGTCGACCAGAGATGCCCCGAGGAGGAAACACGCTGGCAGGAGATGGAGAGCATCAGGAAGGCGCTGGAGGAGAAGAAGAAAGCCAAGGAAGATGCTGAGAAGAAAGCAAAGTATGAAATCTTCCTGTCCCAGATGATGGCGGAGCTCTGCGAGGAGACGGCGCTTCTTCTCTATCCCTGGGTCTTTAAGGACGACGATGGAAATTACAAGGACAAAGACAAGTGTCCCGCTTATGCTGAACTCGTTCACGAGCTACTTCCGGATCGTTATGACGTAGTCGAGGAAGTTAAGATATTACTGAACGAGGAGATGGTTGAGAAAATGATGGTGGAGAGCAATCTGGAGATTACCGAAGAAATTCTTAAAGGTTTTAAAATTTTATTTTATTTTTTTTTTTTTTTTTTTTTTTTTTTTTTTTTTTTTTTTTTTTTTTTTTTCAATTCCACAATTTATTCATTATTACAGGACTCACCGATGGCAAGTGCATGGCACTGAGACTCAAGGGGAAACCTCCACAGCTTTCCTGGCCTGTACCTTTTCCTCACGAATGTCCCGAAGAGCTGGAGATATGTCCTATACGTGCTGTCGATGATGTTGAAAATTATTTAAATTACCTGCTCAACGCTCGAAATACGTCGACTGATCAACCTGAAGAAATTAAATCATACATGGAACGTCATACCCATGTTCAAGAGGCAGATCCTAATGTTGAGGGAGATACTGATAAGGTTTATCCAGCTGCTTGGACCCCGCCACAAGTACAGAATTATTATCTAAACATTTGTTATATATATATATATAACTTGAACACTCTCTTAATCAGGCTAGAAGCAAAGTTCACGTGTTAAAAACAATTTTCTCCAACTACATGGAAAAAGCGCATCCTTACGAAGAGCCTGTACCACCTTTACCTATCAATGCATTCAAGTACGAGGCATCGAAACTTCCTGCAGTCACGGACGCGTATACCAACTGGCAAGAATACGTCGTGCACTTCGGTGCATTTGAATTCGACGATTCCACGTACGCGAGACGTCTGGCATCGACACCGGAAGATTTTGAGAATAAGGTGCACCGTCAATTTCTCAAATGAAAATTTGTCAAAAAAAAATTTGGTACACCCCTCAATCATAATTCTAATCCAAGGTGAAGCACAAAACTGGCGGCGAAGTCTTCATTGTCATCATCAGAAGAGCCCACGACGAAGCTTTTTTGGCTTTTGCCGGAATCGAGCCATATTTCTTATCCGAAGACAACGACGAAGCAGAAGCAATAGGCGCGGTGTATTTCCCAGCCGGCGCGGTAGATCTGATCCCCCAGGATACGGAAGAGGAGGAGGAGGAGGAGGAGGAGGAGGAGGACGAGGAGGAGGAAGAGGAGGACGAAAATGAAGATCAGGAGGAAGATGATATAGTCGATTTTTCAGCTTTTTAACTTATTCATACTTATTGCCTAGAATGGTTTTTTTTTACTGGCAACACACTTTTCATTAATCTTATCTCTAACCTGCTATGTAACTGTGAATCAAGCGGATACCATAAATATGGAAATTACCACTTGGACGATATTAACGTTGCAGTAAAATAGAGACACACGCTATCGCTTACGTTTATTATGTACTCGCTCTTCCGCGCTTTAACTTAACTACGCAACTATTGTAGAACGTTTGTTGCTCCGATTTAACGCCACGCGCATGCGCCGGAATTAATGTCATACCTACGATTAACCGACAACCAAAGCAATTCGTGTATTCACGCGAACAGTAAGAATCCATTGGTGGTATGACGTATGTCTCGGAAATTAAAATCTTGCATCACACGTACAACTTCCATTAATCTTTTACTCATTTTTATCACGCGTGATTCACATACCATTTGCATACGAGCTCGCTGATGCTGTCACGATTTCGTTCGCCCACTCAAACATATGGTTCTCTCTGTCTCTCTCATTCACCAGTCACGTCTCTCTGGGAATTCTGAATGGATTCTGGAGAAGCGAATGAATTTCGTAGTATCGGTTACAACGTGTCCCACACTTGTGACATTGTAAGACATATCAGGAGATACAATAACCTACATAGCACAAACATCCGAAAAATGTCCCTGGGACATCCTGTGGAAGCGTAAATGTACTATGAAATTTTTTTTTCTTCAATTATCGTTCATTATTGGATATCGAATACGTATTAGAATATGATAAGTCTACGTTTAAATAATTCATTATTCTGTTTCTCCGCGTGAAAAATTATGTAACTTATAGACTGTTTTGAATATTCCCGCCATTCACGTTAAACAAACCCGGGTTGGAAAGTCAGTCGAATCGAGTTCTAGTTAGTTTGAAGTCGTTTGCGTAAGATTGGCAAGGGTCCAGGTAGGCTGCCGGGATTACGCAAACATTCAAAATTTTATGTTAGAACGTGCCAGTAATATTTGAACAATTAATATCATTGTTTGAAATCTCCCTTTTTATTCGTCATGATTCATCGTAGCGAATAGTTTCTTAAAATATATTTATATAACAATTGACAAACGTTAAGTTCAATAATACTCATTCACGTACGAATCGAGTCACGAATTTTAAATCCGTCACTTTCGTATCTTCTTCGTTCCCGCTGGAAATATCTCGTATTTCTCTCGTGACTAATCTCATGGTTTTGTTTGACCCAAACAATTGAACTACTAACAGCCTCTTCTTACTCATCCTCTTAAATCTTAATCTTCACGTTAATCGCTTTTTCTTTTCCTTTTTCCCCTCAATTTCGCGATCGGTACACTCGACTCAGTACATTCCGAATTCTACTTATCAACTGTGAATCGCACCTAACAGGAACGGAAGTTGAGGACTGGTTGGCCGTTACCCAGAATCCAACCTTATCACGATTCCAACTAACTGATAACCTTCCAATCGCTCTCTGATTGTCTGATAAGAAATTTTTCTACTCCAATATTTATTATCCTTCACGTGATATCGATTGTCGATCAATAGTATCGGCGATTCCTATTTCTTCGTTGATTCCAGTAAGGTATGCTGGTCGCTTCATGGATATTTGTCCCACTGATAGCAGCGATCTATATTACGGTTGCTTTTCCATGAATCTGCTCGATCGATTTTATGTTTCTGATTTTTCTCCCCTTTATCTCTCTCTCTCTTACTCATTTGTCTCTGGTCACCTCTGAATCCTCACTTTTATCGGAAACGGAACAAACACCGAGCGACGCCGCTCACTTCCGAAAACACGTCGAGTGCCTTCGCCTTGGAATTTATGACCGGGCAATAAAAAGATTTTTCGAAAATCCTTAGGGTCATTAAGATTTCGTAAGGCGCCAAGTGGCTTGTTCATTTTCTTATTTATTTATTTTTTTTTCTAAATTTCTTTTATATTACTCCAAGATGATTATCTCGTAGCAGCTGGTGAATTTTCGTGATGCTGATTTATTCGTATGATTAATCCGTGTTTATTGGGTTAAATGTATTATTTTTGTTGTATCCAAACTATCTGGCCTTAATTTTCACGAGAATGCCAAAGGCAAAACGTGCGCAAGTTTTATGTAAATAAAATTAAAAAAAAAAACTTCAATTTTTCTACCGTAACTCTATCCTTTTAGTGTTACAGAAGCCAAAGTTCGAAGATTCCATTGCACCTAATACGTTATTCACATTTATCATTAATTTATCTCGCATTGGCGCCCTCGTCCTATTTATCTCGCAGGCGAGCAGAGCTCTTCCATTGGTAATAAATGAGTGTAAAAACGTAAAAAAAAAAAAGAGGATTCTCCTTGAGTCTTTAAACCGTATCCCCGGTGTTTTTTTTTTTTTTATTCAAATTTGCATATATTTTTCATCAGCATATATTTTCATATAATATAATGTCTTTGATTTAATTATCATTTTATAAATACAAATCTGCTGTCTACAGGGTGACTCGATATTCGTATATCGCAGTCATTCGAATTGAAATCTATACGTGTAAATTTATCGATATGGTTTTACATATATATATGTAGGTTGAATTAAAATAAAATTTTCAGATGAAAAAAGGATTTTGTAAGAAAAAAATTTCAGTGAATTCGTACTTTTTAGTTCATGACGTTTCCGTAAACACCATTGCTAGGAAGGAGCGTCGCTCTTGGGCAAAGATAAATTTATACACTCGTGCGTTAACGCGAGCAGCCATGTGTGGAGTGCGTGCGACCAGGCGTCGCGACGCCCCTGACTCACTCACCGTCGGCCAACAAACTTGTCCTATACTTCTTCTTTCGCTTTTTGCTTCCTCATCCGCTCTTTCGCTATACGGACACCAAGTGTCCTTTTTGCCACAGACAGAAATAGGATTAGAAGGCGAAGCTTTTTCATCGAAGACTTCTAAATTGACAGTAGCGTGGGCTTGAAGTTTTTCGAAATTTTTGTCACTCCGGATCGAAAGACCGGAAATTGATTTTTTTTTTTTAATTACAAAAATACATAAAATCAATGTTAATCAGGGAGTAAAAGTCAAGTGCCATATTTGTTTGTACCCCCTTTTTTGGATTGTTGATTTTTCGTGACTCATGCCCTTTTCCCATGGGAGACTCAACAGGTTACTACGTTTTTCTCTTATTTGGCGAGAAACGGCCTGTACCACGCGTCCCGACGTCGCGAGTGCGACGACGTTCAGGCGCCTACTACTTTTTTTTTTTTTTTTTTTTTTTTTTTTTTTTCTTTCCGTTTTGCAACTACACGCATAAACGCTCACGATTCGCGAAGTCACGACTAACGACGTTCTCTGATGCTAATACGGGCGACGTCGGCGTCGGTCTAATTAGGCAAAAATAATTTTCTACTGTTCTCGGGATCTAAATACTTTCGTTAGACGTTTATCGATATACACAATAGATACCGAGATGGTAGAAATTTCTTTTATACATTTTTCTTCACGCTCAGTAAAGGCGTACACGTATGTGTAGATTGGGTATTTGAAATTCACTGGTCGAGTTGAAATTAATTTTCAGTTTTCACGTGTAAATATATATTTTAACGCGTATACGACTCGTGCGTAAAAATGAAATTTTTGTTTTGGCGATTCGAAAAATTCTTTGAATAATGAAAAATTATCGAAAAATATAATTATTTTCTGGTCGGTAATGGCCACTGAGAATTTCTTCGAGATAATGACAGCTCCACCATTTTACTTTAGCACTTTGACAGTACTGTCAAGAATTCCTCAGAGGCTTAGGGCAGGTATACATTTTTTCTACCTGCGACACCAAGCATTATGTCTCAGGTCTTTATTATTGCTGCGTCGTTCCCTCGGAACGTACTTCTCTGTGGAATTGAAAAATTTGGAAATTTACCTAAAAGTAAAAAATTAATTTCTTTTTAATTCCTTAAACGTGGCTCATACATCCTTTACTGTGGTATTCCGCCAAATAGTCCATGACCTTATTTATCACACTTCCTGTTCTACATTAACGTTACTAAATCTTTCTCATAAAAACGTCCTGAGAAAGTCATTTCACAAATTCGTCCTTGACCACCATAAGGATCGGAATTTCCGATTACGCGAATCCCTCGCGAATTTCCACTCCAATCGGTGTTAAACATTCTCAGAAACGTCACGTCCCATACGGAACTGCCTCCTTCTGGATTAGGGGAATACTCGTGGCGGCAGATTTATTTTTTCCTGGGGAGTGTTCAACACGTGTCGCAAAATATCCTTTGAACCATTTAATCTTTTGCGAACGTGGACAAAGACCATAATTTTTTTTCTCTTTTATGACGCAGTTTGGTATTTCTGAAAAAAATCACTGAGAATTTATTTTTAACATTTTCTCTCCAGCCTCTTCTTCAATCCATGGACCGATTCTTCGTACGCTCGGCGAAAGTCCAATCGTCATTCGCTTCACTTGTTTCGAGACGATGGTAGAAAATTACACGTCCAATAAAGTGAATTCATTGAACCATTTCACGCTGCGATTTTAATCGACAATCAGTACTGATGATGATTCTCATATTTTACTCTTTTTTTTTCTCAAACAAGCCAAAGTCATGATTTTCTTTTACACGCTACTTATCCGAAGCTACCATAAGCACCCTTAATGGTTTTCGGCAACACTCTTCATTTTCTCATCGTTCTGTGTTCACCGTTCTCATGATAATTAATAGGCAATCAAAGCACGTCATTCGGCCCTTCTATGACCCTGAGGAGGAACCTTTCTAAGACTCAATATTTCGTAAATCTCTATAATGCTTAGTGTACCTCTTTTATTACCATCCGACTACACAGCCCATTCATCGTGTCTATTTACAAACGATACTGCATTCGAAAATATCTTTTTCAGTCTCTTCGTGCTTCACAATGATTTGTCAAC